GATAAAGTTTAACCAGGAATCTTCTCACCTTGTGGCAGTATCTGTATTCGCGGCAGCTTTGTTCGTCAGCGGTAGTATGCTAACAGATCTAAGTGACCTAACTTGTTGTCTTAGCACGCTTGGGAGAAATTAGAAATGATATTAAAATGAACCTTAAATAGGATTTTAGGATGTAGAATGGAATCGTTTCTCTCGGAATTAGGCCGAGTGGCATAATTTGTTCAACCTTTCGATTCTGTAAAAGGCAGTGAATTTCAAGATGGCCGTCTTCTAGTAGAAGTTTACCGACGTTTCAGGGGGCCTTGCTGCCTCCTTCATCAGGGCGTCTATAAACTTCTAGCTCCGTGGTGCTATTTTATCTGCTTTGCCAAGTGGCTGGGTGCATTACCAGGTTTTGCACTTATTATTTGTATGGTGCCCATGGGTGTGTACCCACGTCTCGTAATTCCTATTTGGTTCCCGGTGTTTGTTTAATTTTTTGGGAACACCTTAACTAAAGGCTAACGCTATTTAAGAATTTTAGTATCAACTAAACTTACAACTTTCTCGATTTTGTGAAGTAATATCAGTCTTGTTGGTATGACTACGCTGTATTAATTGTGTTCTGTCCTATTGAATCTTAAGCTAATTGTTACCAGGCAGTAATCTTTACCTGAAAGCCTGTGTTTATTGAATTGTGACGTCGCTGAGATAAAACAAAGTCTTGTACTGCGTGTGCTCTACCTGAAACGTTCAGTTTAATACTTTTACCATATCGATTCGCTCTGACTGTCACAGGATGTTCGCATATCGACTTAGAATCAGACTCTGTAGATATTTTGTTAGTCGCTTATTGGTAGTTAGAGATATACTGTAATCGATGAGTCGTCTTAGAGGCCATATTATTTAAAATCAGACACCCAGCATCTATTTCAGGGTCATTTTTCGCTTGGTATACCTAGGCGAAGTTAGTAAAATGAACTTCAAAGAAATATGTTGTGAAGATGTGATATGGCGTAGGGTACCCTCCAGTGTTAGGCTTTTACGATGTTGGAAACGGAAGTTTGGGTTACACAGCACGGAATGTGCCAATCAGTTAAATGTCTGTCAAGTACTCAAATTAGTTTTGGCACCCATTTTCGAAGAAAGAATAATGTGCCTTCTTCAGAAA